GTAAAAAATGGCGGGGAGAGGAGAACGCCTCAAAGGCGAGGGGGAGAGGATCGAGAGAGAGAGGAAAACGGAGAGTAGAGCGAGAGTATGAAACTTGTTCTCGCGGGAACCGAAATCACATCCTTAATTTCCATAAAAGAGTGCGAAGGGCCACTCTATCCTCTCTCACTTCTTCTCCTTCCTTCTCCACTTTTCCGCCCCGTCTTTCACCCTTCATCCGATCCTCCCACGGGTGAGAAGATCGCCTCTTCCTCCTCTCTTTCTCTCTGTTCTTCGAAGAGGAGCTTGAAGCTTCGTAAGCATATCTCGTTCATCCTCTTACCTCGTTCGCGACTTTGCCACTCAGCACACCCTCTCGACCCTTCTCGTTCCATCTCGCGCCCCTCCTCGTGTAACTCTTCCCTTGTGTCGACCCGGGTCAACGTAATTACCGACGAGAGAGACACGGTTGCTCATTTCCCCTCCCCCTTTCGCTCGCGAGTTTCGAGTGATGCTCGCATGCTTGATGTATCGATGGATCCTTCTTTCGAGTCGAAGCTTCGTCGTGTTTCGATATTTTATTTATTTCTTTCTTTTTTTATCGGTGAGAATTAGAAAGAGTTTGGAAAGAGGGAAAGGAAAGAAGAGAGAGAAAACAAGTTGGAGTGGGATTGAATTGTTGTTATGCAATTGTATAAATCTGTTGAAAGGAAATTCAAGCAATTTCTAAATGTGCGCGAGGAAAAAAACAAGGAATATTTTTATAAAAACGAGGCACAATATATATTCAACGTCATGTTGTTAGGCAAAATGCATTATGCGTACTCGGTTCGAAAGCTCGAAAATACTTGTTTAAACGGAGCAGGGGGAGAAAGCTTACCATTGCTGGTGCAATTAAAAAAGGAAATAAGTGGTCTTCAAAAATACACACGAAAAAAAAAATATATATATATACGAAAGGAAACAAATAGCTGCAGTTTATTAATAAAAAACAACTGACAGACTTCTTTTCAAACGCAATTCGTTTCGCTTTCAGAAAAATAATAAAATTTCTTAAACTTTCAGACAGATTACTATTTACCTAAATTCATTACACAACAAATATTATCCCATATTGAAAATTGAATTATTTTCTTCTAACTTAACGAATCTGTCAAATCGCAAAACAACCGTACCGATTTCGCGCGAGTTTAAATTACTCGATCTAACGCATCCAGAAAATACACGTACACATTTATCAAGAAAAGGCATTTTTTTCCACATCGATATCTCGATCCGTTCTCGAGATAGATCGCCTCGAAGCGCGTCGGAGGAAAGTTGAATGGCGGACGAATCCCCGGAAGCGGCGTGACCCACTTCTTCTTCGCGGAAATACGCACGTCGCGTAGTAGCGATAGTGAAAAGGGTGAGGCGGGGGAAGGGAGAGAGAGGGGAAAAAAGGCTGACTCAGCGCGTCAGTGGGCAGTGGGGTAGGTCAGTATAACGAGCGAGAGAAGCGAGAGAGCAAACGGGACGACAGAGCGAGATAGAAAGACGGAAAGGCATTCAAAATTAAGCCTATCTTTAAACGGCCGTATCTCAAGAACGGGAAATCGTAAGAAGATGGAACAAAAAGAGTTTCGAACAGGAGATTTCGAGGTTTCCAATGGTGTACTTACGAATGTGATTCGGCGAGGATTGGAAAATAGAGGAGGGTTTTTGAACAGGAAGGGCTCGATGGAAGGGTTGCTCTATTCGATGGGAACGAATTATACGTGATAAAAAATTGTGAACAGATTATAGTAACGCGATTATGGTATAATCAATATTGACACCAACGTCCCTCCCGTTTTATTTCCAAACTCTTTAGAAACTCTCTCGCTAAATTTCGCCGATAATATTACCCACGATCCTATTACCCAAAAGGATAATAAAAAATCAAGAGAAATTCTAAAGAAATCGACAAAATCGACAACGTTCATCGATTGTATAGAATACGAAAACGATGAATAATCGCAATCGTTGTTGGCAACAAACACGCGAAGTGAACGACGAGTATAAATTATTTACCCGAATTTTTAAATTACTCTTCTATGTGGTGTCTTTAAAACGATGAAACGAAGCATCTCCTATGGAAAATCCACGCGCAGCTCGGTTCACCGTCCAGGGACAATTAGCCGGGGCCGGAAGCGGTTAATTGACAGGGTAGAGATAAAAGAGGTTGATCGAATCGTAATCGAGGCTTCCACGATCTCGAACACGTCAATAGTCCCATGTCAGACGTCGTCCACGTTCCGATAAGTCTGTCTGGCCTGCGTGACGAGAGCTATTCTCCGTGGACCGGTCCCAGAGGAGCACGTCGGTGCAAATTGAATATTTGGATGTTTCGTTTGTCACAACTGTCTGTGCAACGTTTCTCGAGGAACGTTGACGTCGACTACGCCTCTGATTTACAAAGGATATTATCGCGATGGGGACGAGTTTTGACGGTCATTCACTTGTCGATATTTGTTTCCCTTCTAATATTTCCGATTTATTTTGGCGCGTACATTTTATTCCAGTAATTTTCTCGTAAAAATAATTAGATTGGAGAACAATATTGCAGTCGTAAACGGATTTTAACGTATCTTTTAAAATTATTTCCTCAAATATCAAGAGGACAAATAATGGAAGAAACGTAGATATAAACTCGATACGTATTACCGTTATTACCGTGATATATTTATAGTCGTTAGATTTTGTATCATTTATCCAAATTTTTTAAATACTTTTATTTGTTATCGAAGTGTAATTTATACGTATTAATAAAACGGTGAACACACTTTCTAAACACATTAATAGGAAACGGTCACGAATTATCCGTTATTCATGATCGATCGTCTGAAAACATCGGACGGGTGCAATGGGCACGAAAATTTCAACTTGGAAATTCGTAAAACGAAATTCACTTACCTCGGTTCCGGATGGTCCCTGCGGAGCATCGTCGTCGAAAAGTTGCCGCGACAAGGGAGATAATTAATGAAGGATGAGACGCAGCCTCGCGCCACGAACTTTGCCCATCGTTCGACCCAATTTCCACCGTTCGGGCAATTTGTCAATGTAGCGGGATTTTTCGATCGTAAGATTGTCGCGAGAGGAGGCCTCGTCTTCCGCAAAGAAACTTCCGCTCCATCGTTCGGTCCCTTCGAATAATTGTATCCCAGCTCGATTTTTTTATTTCGAAAATTTATTTCGACGGATATAAAATATATCCCAAGTTTGAACTGAATGAATTCACACTGTAATAATTCTTCGTCAAATTTGTGTGAATTTTGTAAAATATTTGCGAAATATATTACGAACAACGACGAGTGTCGATGTGACCTGTTAGAAGTTTCGATTTAGACTGAAATGAAATTTTCGAGTATACATAGTGTATACATACATGTATGTATGCATACGTACATTTGGAGAAAGATCGTGGAAAGGGAAATATTTTGGTGTTCGTTTATACGAGAAATTTTCTGATCGGTCTTCTTACTTGTAATAGTTCGTATAGACGATTGAAATGAAATTTTTTAAAGAAATGTTCTTTATCTCTCTGCAAATAAAAAACAATGTATTTGAAATTCTTTTCTTTTTTTTTTTTTAAATATAAGAGATAAAAGAAATTTTTAAATCGTGATTGTAACTCGATGTGAAATTCTTTTTTTATTTTTCCTTGTCGCATTATCTATAAAATTAAGATAAAAAGAGGGGTATATTGTACGTGTATAATACAATAATATTCAATTTCGAAAAGAGTTTTAATATCTTCAAAGAATAGGAAAGAGGTTAAAGAAAACGAAAAATTAAAAAAAGATCCACAGGAAATACACAATGTACAATATAACGTTGCGTTTATTATTATCATTAGTCATTAACCACAATCGTTAAACGTTCACTTTCGTATGATACAATGTTAGTTTCTATACACATTTCTCCTCCCCCTTCTCCTCCTTCATTTTCCCTCTAAAGTATTCTCTTAATCTGCCTATTTAATAGTTAGTTCCTTTTCTTACGTTTCCTCTTAGTATCTTGTATTTTTTTTTTTTTTATATACAAAAGCGATGGATCATTCGTCCATTCGGCTAAAGCTACGAACAATCCAATTTATTTATTTATTTACTTATTTTTTTCTCGCGATTGCGGTTGGTCTAACACGCGACTCTATTTCTCATTCCTCTCACTTTTCTTTCTTTCTTTTTTTTTTTTTCACTTTAATTTCTCACCCTTTCTCACTCTCATCCCCTAAAACATCCAATTATTCTTCGTCGAATCGCTCGTTCCGCTCGAGGAATCTTTTTCTTTTTCTTTTTTTTTTTTTTACACGATCGTTTTTCAAAAATTTCCTTACATTGACACGTTTTCTAATAGTCGTTCGTCTCTCGTCTCTCGTTTACGTATATTGGCTACAAAATAATTGACAAAAACCTGTCAAGTAAGTCGACAAAATTTCAACCACCACATTCGTATCTACTCGTCCTAATTCGATGGATTATTATTTATTTATTTTTTTCTCTTTTTTTTTTTTAAGGGAAATTTTTATTCAGAAGCGGAACGAGCACGATTCTCTCTCTCTCTCTCTCTCTCTGCTAGCAGCGACAGGCACACGATTGTTCTTTGATTGTTAAATAAAAAAATATCGCGGGAAGGACGATATACGTGGTCACTCTTTGGCGAAGTTTTTAACTATTACTTTACATACTTTGTAAATGGTTGAACAAAATTATTCTTTTTTCTTTCTTTTTTTTTTTGTCGAAATTTTCGTCAAATTATCTTCTAAATATAGAATTATGGCGAGTGTTTTTTTTTTCTTTTTTTTTTTTTTTTT